CGGCCTGCAGCAGCTCAGCTTAGCAAGGTAACCGCCATATGAGCCGTGGTCTAAACTCCTTAAAGGGGGATTATGTAGAGAATTATATCGGGGACTACTATGGGGGGCTATTAAGGGGGATCCTAGGAGTTTAGACTATAGCTCATATATACCCCGATGTACTATAGTCCGGGATCTCATAAAGGTGTCTCTAATATCGAGACACCCTCAGTTGGATTGAGGGTTTGAATTTTGGACTGACAGAGTATCCTACTTAAGTAGACAGGTCGCAAGTAATCTCACACAGGTTCCGGTTAAAGTGCTTCGAGAGTTGCTAGCAATCCGGCCTTTCTATCTTCCCTGGGAGTACTAGCCCTATTCCTGGAGACCCCTGGTTATAATCAGGATACTTCCGTTGCATAAATTAAGGGAAGTCAACAAGCCAGCCAGATTACTTGTTGAGAAGTGCGATTCGTTCTTGCACGTGCCAAAATTCTGCTGAGACCGATTTTTTGCCTTGCGCCCCGTATGCAGCCGAAACTTAACACCTCCAGAGCCATCACACTGGCTCCTGCTATTATGTGCAGTATATGTTTGTCCAGGACTATCCCTTTAAAGAGCATAATGCTGTCCCGTCTTTAGAGATTTGTTCTTTCCTAGCTTCTCTTACGGGTTATGATCGTGTTTTCGTTCGGGTGGAGGAGGCCACGCTCTGTCCGTTTTGGGTGGATTTTCTCTAGCTGGCAGTATTTGGGTAGTAGGCAACATACGGACCACCCATGCGCCCAGCCTAGAAACCTGCACCTTGACCTGAACCCTCAGAGATAGCTTAGCGTTCTCAGCCCGAAGCCTGCGCCCTTCACCCAAGTTCACCCAAGCTCCCTAAACCTTATGAATCCGTAAACGCTGAACCTTAAGCCCCTAAACCCAATTCCAAGACTGGCGACCCAAGGAATGCGATGTGCACTTCACATTTTGGAGCTGTCGTGCCGTGGCTGGCAGTCGGAACACAGTAAGAAAGGGTTTAGGGGTCTAGGCTCTGGGGTTTCGGGTGTAGAGGCGTAGCGGTTTAGAGTTGAGGGTTTAGGGTTGGGAGGTTTATAGTTTGGGGTTTAGCGTCTAGTGCAGTGTTTAGGGTGTGGCTTCCGGGGCTTAGGGTTTCTAGTTCTGCTGTTTCGCTTTGGGCGTGGCCAGCTTGTAGTTAGGGATTTTGGGGGGTCAGTTGCAAGATGCCTCTCAGAAAATCAAAGGCTCAGTCCCTGGAGTAGTCCCCAGAAGGTACACTTAGTGCATTCCTCTATTCCTTTGCTCACTACCCTAAAGCGTAAACCCTACACCTGAAACCCCTAGACCCTAAACTCTAAACCCTAACCTGTGTGGTGCTTCGACAGGCTCGAGTGCCTTGAAGTTCCTTTCTTCACGCCAGCTGAACACCTCAACCCAACACCCTAAACCTGAAAACCCTAAAGCGCAAGCCCTAAAAGGCAACCAAGCCCTAAACCCCACGCCCCTTGTAACACCCTGAACCCTAAACAGTTCTGTCAGATGATTGGGTACCTGGACCCCCAAAGTATGTAAAATAATAGCCCTAAACACATACTAACAGCCATAGAGGCCATTATTTTACATGCTTTTGGGGTCCAGCTAGGTCTTTTCTAAGAGGCTCCGCTCCGAAAATCCCATGTGACATACAATTTTGGACGTTTCAAGGAAACACACTTCTGGGTTTTAGGGTTTAGGGGTTAAGGGTGTAAGGTTTAGGGGTTAAGGGTTTAGGATTTAAGGTTTAGGGTTTATGGACTAATTGTTTAGGGTTTAGGGTGGACTTTTCAAGGAAACACAGGCCCCTCCAATCTTTACCCCCTCCTGTTTGTCCGAACTTTGCTGAGCAGCATCCCTTTGCAAATCCTGCCCAAACGCTGATGACATCCCGAAGACTGATGACTTCAAACGCTGCCCCAAAGGATCCTTCAAGTGCCTATATGAGCTAGAGTCTATAGGGGAGTATATAGGGGAGTACTGCAGGGCTTATAAAGGGGGATGCTCTTAATTTAGACTATAGCTCATATAGGGATACTAGCCCAAACCATCTCACTAACATATAACATATGGCGGTAAGGGATGCTTGTTGTCAGGATCATGCAATGCCTAGTAGCCGTAAGAAGTACACCACCACTTATGTAGGACCCCAGGACAGGGTCATAGGGTTGGGAGTCGCCCTAAAGCCTAAACCCTGAACTCACGGGATGAAAATTCTCATCACATTCCCTAAGGTTCAGGCCTCATTTGTTCAGGGGGTATTTGGCGGTTTCCAAAGACAGTGTTCTACAGACCCCAAGGTATTAAGACCCTTATGGTGGCAACGCCCAAAAAGTGGCCCACTAGTTTTGGAAAGTCCCAGAGCATTTTAAGGTCCGCACGACACACGTCACCGGCACGCTCACGGACATTGGCTCCACGCTTGGACGTGCTGGAGCTGCACTTGAGCTTTCTGAGATTTTCGCAGATGGCTGTAACAAGGACTTCTTATTGCGGGAGACCCTAAACCCTGACGCTTTCTTCTTTAGGACTGTAGGGTTGGGGGTTTCGTGTTACTGGGCAACATAAGTGAGCAGTTTCCGGGGCCGTCTGATACATACACACCGGAAGTTATGAGCCCTACAGTTGCTGGTGCTTAAGAGGAGCAGGGAAGGGGTGAATATAAGCAACATTGTGGTAAGGGGTAGTGATAATAGTAGTTGCAGAACTACAGATAATAAAGCCTAAGCCCCAAACCTCAAGCCCTAAAGAGTAGTTCCCACCTTTTTGATAATCTCTATAACCTCTATACGACCCTATATAGTGTCCTTTTTACCTCCCCCCCACCCCGCCTGAAGACCGGTAAGGCAATGTCACGGCTAACGGCTTATCTCGTGAACTGAAGCCTCAAGCATGAGCTTCAAATCAAAGAGCAGTCATGAAATTAGGATGTTTGGGGTGGAGGGTTTGGCGGTGCAACTGAAACGGTAGAAGGTTCAGGGTGCAAACCCACCAAGCAAGAGCAGAGACGCGCGCCTTCAGTGTCCTGTCCTACGATGGAGGGTCTATTGTTGAAGTTCGAGAGCATGTTTGTTCTTTTGTAGGTGGTTGTCAAAATTATGGTCCTTTTTTGGATCCCTATTATAATACGGCACATAATATTTGGAGCACCCAAAAAGGGACCATAATTTTGACAGCCACCCATGTACATGTAACAATTCTTCTGGGGACTCCGATTCTTTTTGGAAACCCAGAAGCCCAAACCCTGAATCTCCCGAACCCTAAACCCTAAATACCCTAACTCCGCTAGACCCTGAACCTTACACCCTGAACTCGAGGGCCTGAACCTAAGGTCCTGAACCCAAAGCTTTTGCCCAGAGGAGGAAGCCCAGGTTCTTCATTTCGTTTGGGTTTATGTATTACTTGGGGTTTAGGGTCTAGGGTCTTTGGTTTAGGATTTAGGATATGGGGTTTAGGGTTCAGGGAGGGTGCTGGAATCTACCTTTTGGTCTGGACTAACTGATGGCCAGCGAGGCATAAGCCGAACAGACAAGAGAACATCGACTTGGAGTTTAGGTATAGGTGGTAAGTAGGGAATGGAGCAAAAAGACGGAAGCATACATATACGTGTAATCTTGTGGGGATTGTAGGAATCCTAACCTTAAACCCTAAACCCTGAACCTCTAGATATGGATTCAAGTTTCCAACCGTTTCGAATCACCTTCGAGTTTGTGGAGCTCCTAAACTGGACCCATGTAAAATTTGGACCTTAGGGTTTAGGGTGTGTGGTTCAGAGTTTAGGGTCTAAGGCCGAGGGCTCAGAGTTTAGGACTTAGGGTTCAGGATGGGTGTTCGAAACAAGGCTTGTTGCCTCAAAGGGCCGTAGCAAACCGTTTTCGTGGTTCTACCTTCTCTAAGCCCCGGCCCAGGCCGTAACCCAAATGCTTCACACCCTTAAGACCCTACGAAACACGCAGCCCTGTTTCCCTCAACCCCTGAACCCTGGTCCCTAAACCCTAAACCCCAATCCCCCAGGCCCTGAATCTTTAAGTTTAAGCCCTGTTCCTTAAAACCTAGAGCCCATTCCCTGAACCCAAAGCCCTGTTCTTTGCCCAAAAACACCAACTACATGCGGAATTGTGGGTCTCACCAAAAGCATGATGAGAACCTCAACTGTGCAGGTATTGCCATGGTCCACCTCCGCAAAGGCAGCTGAACAAGTTTGGGTTAGAAAGACTTAGAGGCTTAGGGATCAGAGCTTTTGGTTTAGGGTTAAAGGCTGGGGAATAGGCTTTCAGGTTCAGAGTTTGGTGGATGATGCTTCGCGGCTAGCTTGCGCCAGTGCCAACGTTGAGTACTTTGACGGATGGCGTTCCCGTCCCCCCGGTCGGTGGAGCACCGGTACCTCAATCTCACAAGCATGTAACAAAAAATGCTTTCTGTTTCTTTTCTTTTTGGTTTTGGGCCGGTCCAGGATCCACGAAATCCAAAGACGAGTGGCAATTTCTTGGGGTTTAAGGCATTGAGTTTGGCATTTCGGCTGCAGGAATGACATCCCTCGAGGTTGAAAAGCCAAAGTTACACACCATTGGCTCAAAGCGACTCTGTTACCTCTCTTTGCAAAGCAGAGGGCTCAAGAACTGAAGGACTTCGAAGCCTACGACAGAAGCCACTACGCAGTCGGGGCGCTCAGACCTCAACTCAAATCCGTACAGCCCAGCAATCTGAACGCCAATGTGGATGCGTGAATATTTTCCAACACGTTCTCCCTTGATACTCCGTATGTAATTTTATTAATTATCTCATATCCGGAAAAACCTATTGAATGATTTCGGCCCCCATGGTACAGCCTAGAAATTTGCATCCTCACTTTTCAGCCGTACACCAAAGCCTTACCGCCCCAAAACCCCAAACCCAAAACCCTAAACCCCCAAACGCTGAACCCTAAACCCGAAAACCCTACACCCAACAGCATGGAGAAAGATACGTTTGAAGCCTAGCAGGTTGCAGGCGATCCCGGATGAACGTCCTGGAGAAGGCAGATGACCTTAGGCGGTTTAGGTTTAGGGCTTAGGGTCTAGGGGTTACGATTTTGGGTTTCAGGTGTGAGGCTTCGGGTTTAGGGTTTAGGGCATGCGAGGATTTGGGCACCCAATTCCCAAAGTCTACGCCAGGGTTATCAGAGGTATGCATAATGGCAGCGCCCGTTAGATTTTGCGGTATCCTATAGTCTTCGTTGCTACCCACGCCCTAAACCCTAAACCCTAATCCGTAAATACTAGTTTTTACTTTCCATTATCCTTATACTCCCTTAGCAGTCGAAGTTTGCCTCGACGCTGCAAATTGACATGGAAACCTTGGAGCGCCAACTTCCTTTGCGCATATAGGGTTCTTAATTAGTTTAGGGTTTAGGGTTTAGATTTTAGGGTCTAGAGTTTAGGGTTTAGGGTTTAGAGTTTGCGGTTTAGAGTTTAGGATTTAGAGTTTAGGGTTTAGGGTTCAGGGCTTAGGTGCATTGTGGCTTATGGTTGACGGCTGTTATTGGGCCAAAAGGAGTTCTAGTGCAAGCTTGACTGCGGCGCCAAAAGAACCCTCAGTAAGGTTTTAGTTGTCAGTAGGAAGGAAGGAATGGATCCTGAAAATCCAAGCCCTAAATCCAAAGAAGTCCTTACAAAACCCCAGCACTTCAAGGAAAGAGTTCTGGAGCAGCTCCTACATTCAGTGGACCTGAACCCTAACCTAAACCTGGACCTGAAGCCTAAAATCGGAACTCCAAACCTCACATAAACCCTAAACCCTAAACCCTAACACCCCAAAGCCTAAGCATAAAGTTATGAATCCCATTCCCTAAGTTCATCCTGAGGAACTCCTATGAGCTAGAGTCTAAACTCCTAGTATCCCCGTTGTAAGCCCTGGTATAAGGTAACTCCTAGTATTCCCCTTAATAAGACCTAGAACCGGGTCTAGCGTTTAGGGTACAGTTTATAGGGTTTGGGGTTCAGGCCTTAGGGTTTAGGGTTTAGGGTCTAAACCCCTAGTATCCCCCTTAATAAGCCCTATAACGATCCCCTACATAATCCCCTCTAGAACCTCCTTTAAGGAGTTTAGGCGAAAGCTCATGTGGGGTCGATAAAATCATCATTCAAGGCTCTGTAGGTCTGCACGGGAAAACGCAAGGGCATGCTTTTTCCATCATGGCCATTTGGGGAACCGCGAGCCGTAAACTAAATCCATGGCCATTTTGGGAACCCTAAGCCCCGAACTAAATCCTCAACAGCAACCCAGAAACTTGACAGTTGGCCTGACCTGGTCGCCAAACTGTTGGCACATTCTACAGATTTGTAAGGGTTTAGGGATAGGTATGCCCACCCGTCGAACCCCCCCCAACGCGTTCCTTGCGTCTAAAAGGGTGTACTTTTTAGATTCGAGGATTGTTTGGAGGGCGTGCGTATAACTGTAAGCCCTGAGACCCTAAGCCTTGGCATTATGTAGGGAATATGGAGAAGAAGATGGAAGCTACTATAGTATAATGGGGTATATATGAGGTTTATGTAGGGACAATGGAAAAGAAAATGGAAACTACCATAGTATAATGGGGTATATCATAAGGGTTATATATGGATAATGGAAAAGAACTGAGCCCTGAAACCTGCCGTTTTCCAGGCAGAAGTGGGTGTTGATTCCCGGAAGCTTCTGGTCCTGCTTCCTATGTGGATCTCCTTCGTCTTGGGCAGCACTGTAGGCCGGCGGTTCATGGGTTGAGGGTTTAGGGTAGGGTAGAGGGATTAGGGTTTAGGGATCCCAAATGCTAAACCCCAAAACCCTAAACCCTAAACCCCCAAACCCTAAGGCAGGAACCCTTCCATGAGGATGTTGAGGGATGAATACCGACGATTCGGGCATCTTCTGGAACCACGCGTCTGTACTGAGGATATAAGGGTGTAGGGTTTGGGGTTTAGGATATAGGGTTTAGGATTTAGGATTTAGGGTTTAGGGTATAAGGTTTTGCTGCTGGAGGAAAGCCTGCATCATATGATGCGAGATTCCCTCCGTCAGATATTCTCACGGGTAGGTAGTAGGGAAGGGAGAAGACAATGACCCCTATTCTCATAGCCCTTAAACATATTATGATTTCTAATTATGTAGTTGTTCTGTGTTCTTTTCCATTCCTGCATTCCGTACGCTGAACTGCGAACCCTGAATGGTAGTATCCATCTTCTTTTCCGATCCTCCATACCCTACCCTTAAACCCTGCACCCTGAGCCAGAAACATCTAAACCCTAAGCCCCTAAACCCTAGACTTAAAACCCTAAACCCTAATGTGGTGCAGCAAGAAGGAATCCGGAACTTGCTAGACTTCCATCTTACGAGATTCTTAATTGCGGCCTTCTACGGTAGGGTCTGGGGTTTACGGTTTCAGGTTTAGCGCTTATCTGGGGGTTAGAAATACCAAAGTCCTCTTATCATCTATTTGGCAGAAGATGCTTGTTGGTCGGCGACGAAGGTTATGGCTTGTTGTAAGGCCCAGACATCAGGGTTGCTGTAAAGGTACTTAAATTAAGTTGTCCTTGACCTGGTAACCTAGCCTGAGGTCCTTAACAACAACCCAGAATAGAAAGTAGAGCCGCAATCTAGTACCCCACGCCGTCCTGGTGGGCTGAAGGCAACCCTTCGGGCACTACTTTCCAGATCCCACCCCAGCTGTCCAGGGTTTAAGGCATTCTTGCGTTAGGCTTTCCATAGGTCATTAAAGAACACTGGGCTGCAGGACTGCGAGAGATGGGTTAGGACGGTTTAGGGTTTGGGGAGCTTTGCATGTCTGCTTTCTGGGGCCTATGCCCCGCATACAGTGGATGCAGAAAATCTTGCACCACTGAAGACTGCAAAGCCACTGGGGTGTACTACCCCTATCGTAGACTGTTCCTGGGTTGGGGAAGTAATCATGGTTTGGTCCTCAGCTCCAGTGTCTTGCGCTTGCAAAACACCACAAACAACAGGAGTTCTTCAATGCGCTCCCTACACAATCTCCCAGAGGCCCACTCTTCCGACAAAGCCTAGAATGTGCTGGGTTGTCCCCATCTCGAATAATTTGCTGAAGAACTTTTGTCTTCAAACCTATGGGGTGAGCCAAATTCTAGACCGATCTATGACCCCTCCTTGTACTTGGAGGGTGAGGGAGGCCTAGTAACAACGGAAAAGGACATCGGACACTACAAATGTGTTAAAGGTGTAGGGGGACCAAGTGAGTAGATTCATAAGGGGGTATCTGGGGTTACTACATGGCTTTTAAAGGATATGACTCGATATGACTATACTTACTATGCCCCCATGACCCTCCAAGTAGGGCATGAAGCGAGGAATTCTTCAGGACTAAGTTCACTGTGTAAGAACCCAAGTAGCACTATGTCTCAAGCTTCATCGACGACTATTACGAATAAAACGGCGACTACTACTGCGACTGCTCCTGCTTCTGCTCCTGTTACTGCTACAGCTAGCTACCCTAAACCCAAAACCCTAGCTAGCCTCCGACAGTGTGATGACAAGTTCTGCGAGGTGCTTACGCGGAGCATCTTTTCGGCGTCTACGCCCTCTTCATCCCAGCCTCAACCACGCTCAGTATTGGCCTGGGCTACATGTTCCTGAGGCCCGAACTCCTCAGCCAGAAGCCACACTTCAGGGTCGGGTTTCAGGGGTAGGCCCTTCATAGGCTCAGGGTTTGGGGTTCAGAGTTTAGGGTTTAGGGTTGTTGCAAAGGAAGATGGCTTGCAGAACTGAAGTTCGAACATGCGAAACGAAAAACCCGTAGCGCCGCTTGCCGCTGGCTGCGAGCTCTGAAGCAATTCCCAGTCAACTCATCCACCTGCAGTCCACCCTAAGTAGATAGAATATTAGAGTTTAGGTTTTAGGGACTATGTAGGGGATATAGTCCCCCGGAAGTAGACAGAATATGGGGTATATGGGGATCTCATCATGATATTGGGCAATTCCATGTTCTATTTACTTCATGTTTATGGACCAATCGTTAGAATTCGAAAGCTTCGTCAACAACCTAAGGGTCCAAGGACCCAAATACTAGAGTCCCTGTAAAGGGGTTATGGGAGGATATATATATATATATCTATATATACTACGGTCCAAGGACCCAAATAAGAGGGCTTGAGTAGTTGGACCCTAAAACCCTGTTGTTTGGGTGATTGGACCCTTGGGGCAAGAGTGCATGGGCGACCTCAGTGGCCAAATTTACGACATTATTGCATTCATCTGAGAGTAAGGGGTATACTGTTGGGGGGTTGGGATTACCAAGAACCCCTTGGTATTTGTGGTGCGCTCGCGTATCATGATGATGCAGTGGTGAACCTTGCTAATCCCTCCCCCTAAGTTTAAATAAGTCAAAGCAGTAGGTCTGAAGGGTGTAGAGTTTCGCCACACCATATACTAGCACATTTAAAAAGATCAAGCGCGCACAACACTAACATAAGTAAGTGCATGAACTTGATAAAAGAAGAAATACTTCACCAGTCTTGGAAGTTTGGTTGAAAAAAGAAGAGTAGCTGGGCTTCAAACAGGCTACGTTTACCAATATAATATTATGTATATGGCAGCACGACTTCCCAAGGCCTACAACGTAAAGCTGTGTGCCGCCCTGTTCAAGCAAAGTTTGCCCATGGTCTCTCTATACCCTGAAGCCAATATCTTGATTCTAGCGGACGTTGCGAAAAGCGGCCGCAGACTCTCCCAAACCCTTATAACTCTACCCAAACCTCCCTATGTAGTTCCTTTCGCGTAGTATATTAGAATCCCTTACCCAAAAACCCTTACAAACCCAAACAGGAACTATATATTAGCCCTCGGGTAAGCCTTAGACTGTACACAAAGAGGCGCTTCTTGGACGACATGTTCACCAGGATTGAGCAGGAAGGCTTACGGGAACGCCTGAATGATGCAGCTTGGTTCCACTTCTCACCCCCAAGAGGGTTTGAGGTGGGCTTGGGGTTTAGGGCTGTTGTTTTCCACGTCTTTCTTAGATAGCAAAGAGGCTTGCATAGGAGCAGTTGTGGTTCCGTTTTGAGAGCACCCAACAATTTTGTGGCCTATTTGAGCATCCTTGTGGATGGCTTCCCATGACATCCGGGTCCAACTGACACAAGTTGATGCCGCTGGAAGGTTGTGTTTTAGATTATGTTTTCTGGACGTAGCATGTGATGGAGGAATGGATCCCTTCCTGTAGTAGCCCCCTACAGCTGATAGTGCGCAGTGGTATAGTAGTTCTCATATTTCCATTCCTTCATAACCTACGAACAAGAAGCAAGTGACTATGGGGACTGGGGTAAGAAGCAAATAATTCTGCCCTAAACCTTAAGCCCTAACCCTTAACGCCGCTCAGGGTTGTAAAGTGTGTGAAGTGAAATAGTGGGCGGATGATTTCGAATTTAGGGCTTCCCTACAGCGTTGTGGCTGTCCTTGTCTATTCCCTACCTGCCCCAACAAAACGGAACACAGACCTTATGTAAGATTTTTTTTATAGAATGGACACATGTTTGATTCTTGAAGGAACTGGGTCCCCTAAACCCAGCGCCCTTAGTGGGTTATTGGAATCATTTCAGGGCATTACAAAGCACCGCGGAGGGGTCCAATCCCCCCTTCCGTTGTGTCTCCCTAAACCCTGAACCCTAAACCCTAAACCCTAAGCCTAAACCTTTCTTACTGGCCTTCACTGATGAGCTAGGTCAAAAGAACAGAAATAGGCCCTATCTGAGGCCTAACCCAGACCCATAGGGGTTATATGTGGGTTAGGGTTTAGGGTTTAGGGTATAGGGATAAATGGAAAAGAAGATGGCAACTACTATTTAGGGTTTAGGGTTTAATGTAGACCCATAATTAACAAACCCCTTCCCAGTAATAGGGATTATAATAGGCATCCAAATATTTAGGCCCAGGGATTATAATAGGTATCCTAATATTTAGGCCCAGGGGTTACAATAGGTATCCTAATATTTAGGCCCAGGGGTTATAATAGGTATCCTAATATTTAGGCCCTAAGAAGGAGGGGGTTTATGAATCATGGGTCTACATTAGCCCGCTGCAAGGTAAGATTTGGAGTGCAGGGATCGCATCTTGGTACCCTCGCATGGGTGCACGTTTGGAGCAGCTCTTTAGTATTGCAGGTCGCGTATAGCAAAATTTACTGCTCGGCACGGTTCAAGGCCTGCTGGACCGAACCCTAAAGCCTAATCCCTAAACGCTCTAGTCCCCCTTAAGTAGATAGAATATGAGGTATATGGGTGTCTTTTTCTAATATACCCAAAGCCCAAATCTATCTACTTAAGGGGGACTATAAACCCTAAACCCTACACCACAAGCCTAAGGCTAACCTATTGCCTGATACCACTATGGGCTATTAGACCTTAAGGGTATCTTAATCTACCCTTAATAGGGTCCTAGTAGGGCATTTAGGGTCTAATAGCCCATAGTGGTAGCCTCACCTCCTCCTCCAACCAAGATGCAAGAAGCCTTCCAGCGTGCTGGGACGAGGACACAGTGAGGGCACGGGTTGAGGGTTACCTGGACCCCAAAAGTATGTAAAATAATGGCCTTTACGGCTCTTATTATGGGTTTAGGGCTATTATTTTACATACTTTTGGGGTCCAGGTAGTCTTTATGTTAGTTGGCTGGGGTTTAGGGTCTAAGGCTTTTGCAAAGACATTTTTGCGCAGGGGGGCCAACCTACACAAGATCCAAAACCCCAAAGCCCTAAACCCTAAATCCCTAAATGCCTAAATCCTGAACCAGAAGCCCTTCACCCTAAACCCTAAAATCCAAAACGTTAAATTACAACCCAAAACCCTGAAGCCCTAAGCCCTACACTCTAAAACCCAAAACCCTAAAGCCCTAAACCTAAAGCCTGAGCCCTAAACCCTGAAGCCTAAAACCTTAAACCCGAAAGCCTAAACCCGCTCGTGGACACCAAGAAAACCCCCAGACCCTAAACCCTGAACCCTATAAACCCGAAGCCCTCAACCCTAAACCCTAAGATAGTCCCCCTTAGATAGATAGAATATGGGGTATATGGGGATCTTGTTATAATATACCCAGAGCCATATTCTATTTACTTAAGAAGGGAGACCAATAACCTTAAGCCCTAGACCCCAGCCTGAAACGGTCCGAGTTGGGCCCTGCGCCTTGGCCCCTAGGCGGTTTAGGGTTTAGGCTTTGGGTTTAGGATTTAGGGTTTATGATTTAGTTTTAGGGTTTAGGCTTTAGGGTTTTGGGTTCAGGGTTTAGGGTTTGTATCTTTTTATGAGGGGATCTAATCACAAATATGTTTTTTTGGAGGCCCTGGAGTAACCAGGCAGCTATAGCTGCAACCCGCGAGAGTGCTCTAGGGTTTAGGGTTTTGGAGCTTAAGGGTTTGGTGTTTACCCTGAACCCTAGGCCATTGAGGGTTTAGGGTCTCGATGGAGTCTCGGATTGCTCGAGGGAGCTGCAGGACATGATGCTTGATTATTTACCAATACCTGGACCCCAAAAGTATGTAAGATAATGGCCTTTATGGCTGTTATTATCGGTTTAGGGCTATTATTTGACATACTTCTGCGGTTTAGATACTATGGTTCTAGGTTCATTGCATGTTTGTGGTACAGGGCACTTGCATCTAAATAGACCTCGAACTGAATTGATTTTGGCATCTAGAGCAGCAGGAGAATGAGTCAAACGAGGGCAGAGGCGAAGGAACCGGGGAGGAGGAGGAGGAGCTGGGGGGAGGCTCAGGAAGAAGGGCCCCGATGATAATATAGTAGCTTCCATTTTCTTATCCATTATCCTTATGTAACCCCAATATATACCCTAAAATCCCTATATAACCATAATAGAGGAGGAAGTGGAGTGTTTTTGTCATGTTCATTGCCTTAGCTGCCTATTTACGATCCTTTCATAACTGGCTTGTTGTCACCGTGATTTTTCGGCGTCTCAGCATTTCCTATTGGTAAAACTTGGGATAGTACTTCAGCATATAAAGCGCTGACCCGTCCCACGATTGCCATTCGTATTGTGACGGTTGTTCTGTTGCTGTCCGCCAGAGCCCTCCGATCCCGTAGCATGATCCCAACAAGATCTTAACCTTAGCCCTGAGCCTAACACCCGAAGCCCTACACGCTCAGCCCTCGACCCAAAAAAGAGAAGAGGATTTTGGTAAAGTAGGACCCTACGGACACCATATGGTTTTGATAGGTTTCAGTGTTTCGGTACGGTAAACAAAATCCTCCTAGTATAATCCCAGGATACACCCGTATACCAGCCCCGAACCTAATCCCTAAAGCCCAAACCCCATACCCTCTAAACCCTAATCCTTAAACCTTAAACCTGAATCCCTATAGGGTTTAGGGTTTACTGTCCCTATATCCCTAAACCCTAGATCCTAAACCCTAAATCCTAGATCCTAAGCTCTAATCTTAGGGAAGCTCCCTTTCAGGCTCTCCGAGGCCGAGAGCCAGGGCAAAAGCTCGACCAACCTCCAAGAGATTGACGAAGAGACGCGCGGCTTAGGGTTTAGGGGTTTAGGGGTTTAGGGGTGTAGGGTTTAGAGGTTTAGGGTTTAGGGGTTTAGGGTTTAGGTGTTTTTTCTCTGTCCTTGGGGGGGCTGGGGGGAAGTTCCAAACCCTAAATCCTAAACCCTAGATCCTAAGCCTATAAACGCTAAATCCTAAGCCGTAAACCTTTTGTCTCTTGGGAGTTTTAGTGGTGCCAGGTTGAATACCTGGATGTTGCAAGGCGTAATCCTGAGTAGGAGAACAGCAGATGTGTCTTCAGTCTTCAGCAAGAGAGGATTTAGGGATTAGGCTTTAGGGTTTAGGGATTAGGGTTCGGGGATTTGGGTTGGATGTGTCTGAAGTCCTCAGCCAAAGATGTTGGTAAGTTTGGGGCGCCCAGGGAGCGCGAAAGTTCCCGTCAAGCTTGATTCCTGGAACATAAGCTGGATGGACACCACTTACGATTGCGAAGCTATTGTACTTATTGGGGTAAAGCTGGTATATGTAGAGCATATCAGGTGGTGCAAGATTTCCTGCGCTAGGCGCAAATGTGCGGTAGGTGCTTTTGAGTTTGGAGGCTAGTGGCTTGGGGCATGCAGCCGAGCCCCCACGAAGTCAAGGTTTCAGGATTCGGGGTCGGCAGCAGTTAGGGCTAAGGTGTTGGGACCCCCTAAACGCTAAACTCTCAACCCTAAACCTACAGGCTGCAATTAGAGTCTAGGGTTTCGAGTTTAAGGGCCAGCAGAGAGACCTCAGCCGTCCCGGGAATGCGACGCGCTGAATATGAGACACTCAAGATTTAAGCTACGGACTAAGGGTTTAGAGTTTTAGGTTTAGATGGACTCAAGTTAGGTTTGGGGGACCTATAAGGGGATGTCTAAGGGGTTGAGGGGACTGTGGGACCTTTAAAGGAAAATGCTGTGACTTTGGTCCAGGGCTCAATGTCATTAGCGGGTGGGCCTCGGACGTGGATTGCGCTATGAATACCTACTGCAAACCCTGGACCCGACACCCTAAACCAAAACACGATTATCATAACTAGGCCCTAGCATGCTTCATTTCGGGGAGTGCGGTGCTTAGGGCTCTGCATGATTCCGTACAGTTTAGGGTTTGGGTTCAGGATTTAGGGTTGAGCTCTGGGTTCCCAAGCCTTAGGAAAAGTCAACATGAGCCAGGGGCATACCCCTGCAAAGAGTTATAGTCCCCCTTAAGTAGATGGATTATGGGGTATATGGGGGTCTTATTATAATATACCCAGAGCCGTATTCTATCTACTTAAGCGGGGCTATAAGGGGGAATGGCAAACGTTCCTCTGTTTTCTTCTGTTGGGGACCTTCTGAAGTTAAGGTTTATGGGCTTGGGTATGTTCAAGGCTTGCTAGAAAAACCTGGACTCAAAAAGCCGCTGCCGATCTTCAGGGTTGTGGTCCACCCATAAACCCTGAACCCTAAAACCCTAAAACCTAAACCCCTCAACCCTATACCCTTAACCCTAAACCTTAAACCCCAATCACAGGGTCTGAGGCCGCTCCATTGGGTTCGCGGGTCTGATTTTTACATTTCTAAATTGCGCGGCCTGTATTGTAGATTGTACATACTTACATCCCCTTCATAGCGCTTGTTCACTTGAAGATTCTTCATGCAAGTAAGGAAATCTATTCTGATTAAGCTCATGGTTGAGACATGTCGGTTTGGAGTTGTGTTTAGGTTTGGGGTTTAGGGTTATAGGGTTTATGGCTTAGGGTATAGGGTCGCAGTATATACCCTAGACACAAACCCGAAACCCTACAAATTCTCGATATCATGGGCCAGGCACGTCTTTTACCTTGCTATACCCATGTTATCATCGTTTTTCTCACACATTCCCTATGCTCCCTACATATATATATATATATTACTATGGATTGCCCCTTTTGTGGGGCCAGAATCCCTAACATCCCCTGAACCCTTCCACCACAAACTCTAAGCACTGAAGCCCCAAACCAAAAGCCGTCACCCGAAACCCTAAACCCCAAACCCTAAGCCCTAAACCCTTAACCCAAAGAAGTCAAGCAAGGATGGGTGCCATGCTCGAGGCGTTGGATGAGGCGGGCCTGGGACGATAAGGGGCCTATGTTGGGTAGACCCCCTGGTATGGGTTTTGGGCTTTGGGTTCAGGGTTTAGGGTTTAGGTCTTAGGGTTTTGGGTTTCGGGTTCAGGGTTCAGGGTGTAGGGCTTAGGGTTCACGGCTTGGGTTTAGGGGCAATAAGAATATATGAGGAACCCTGATATGATCACCATAATCCCCGTACTATACGTGGGTGTGGGGGATCCACCTAAGGGCTATATGAGTAGATTTTTTTTGGGCAAGTAAGATTATATCCTCCTTTTGGGGTATAGTATTTTATATGAGAATATATTCTTACTGGGCTTAACCACCAAAAAAACGCTACTCACATGAGGTTCCAGGTTCATTTGGGAGAGGGCCCCTCTTTTAAGGCGACTGACGAGCTCGGTTGCATCAGCCAAGCAGCAAACTTATGTCTGAGCTGTTACATCCTACAAGGTATATGGTTCAAGACCGAATCCATAGCGCGCTCATCTGAAGTCCCTAAGATCCCCAAACCCTAAATCCTTGAACCAAAAACCCTAAAATCCCTAAAAACCTTACACCCTAAATCCCTAAACTTCAGCCCTGCCTGGACCCCAAAAGTATGTAAAATAGTAGCCCTAAAATCAACATAACAGCCATAGAGGCCATCATTTTGCATACTTTTGGGGTCCAGGTAATCCTTAAACCCTAAACACGTCAGATGGAGCGGGGGATGGACGACTTCTGTCGAACTCCGCGTCGCGAGCACGAGTCCCTCAGCTAAGGGAAGAAGGGTGTAGAGGGGCTTGGGGGTTTAGGTTTAATTTGGGGTCTAGGGGTTTAGGGATTACGGTTTGGGGATTTAGGGTTTAGGTGATTTTGGGTTCATAGGGTTTAGGGTTCATAGGGTTTAGGGTTTACAGGGTTTAGGGATTTAGGGTTTAGGGATTTAGGAGTAGGGATCCAGGCTTTAGGGATTAGGGATTTAGGGTGTAGGGTTTATTGATATACGGTTTAGGTTTTCTAGGTTTTAGAGTTCAGAGGAGTTCAGGGTTTAGGGTTTGGGGTGCATAGGTTTAGGGTTGAGGGTTTAGGATTTACTGTGCAGGGTTTAGGGACTAGGGTTTTAGGGTTTGGGGCTCGGGGTTCATAGGATTTAGGGTTCATAGGGGTTAATATAGGGTTTAGATATTGGGGTTGAGTGTTGGGGTTAAGGGTTTCTAGGGTTCATGGTTCACAGGATTTTGGGTTTGTTTTTTTTCCTGATGCTGAAGGGCGGTGTGAGGCCCTGTAATAGTCCCTTTATGTCTCATGCAATACTATTCATATGAGCTCCCCCTTTCCACCTCAAGCACCAGTATTGGGGACTCCCCCGGCCTTATAATAATCGTATACAGAACGCTTCCGAAAGGATTCGTATTTCTGAACTGCAGATATCTGGGGTGGGGGAATTATCCGAGTTTCCGTTCGTGTGAGCAAGCCCGGAAAAAAACCCTTGGTGACTGCATATCCCCTGGTCATCCCTAATCACAGAGATACGGGGTCGCTGAGCACAGCGAAGTGACGATTGTGTGCACTGAAATGCCAAACCCTGACCTAAGCCCTAAACCCTAAACCCCAAACCTTGCGTCAGTGGTTTCAGGAATCCAAGATGTAGCCTCAGAAGATTACAACTGGATCAATGTTAGGGATCCTTTACACTTTCTGGGGTGTGGGATTCCTTATATTTATGTAAGAAGAGATCCTTTTGTCTTCCTAGGGTACTGTGGGCTAAGGCAAAGGATTTAGGGCTTAGGGTTCAACAGCCCCCAACATGCAGCAGCTTTAGCACCTCTAGGGATGAGGGATGTCCCGAATATGCCCTTTAGGGTTTGGGGCTTAGGGTTTAGGGTTTAGGGTTTGGGGCTTAGGGTTTAGGGTTTAGGGTTTGGGGCTTAGGGTTTAGGGTTTAGGCTTTAGGGTTTGCCCCCAACATGACCTTCGTAGGACCTGGTATTTCCCCAAATCAACATGGAACCCGCATGGGGCCTCTTTTGAAAGGCTAGTCGTCATTATGGAACTCCTTTTCAGGTTCCATGTTAGTTTGGGATCCCAAACCCTCAACCTCAAACCCTAAACCGAAACCCTGAATCCCACACTCCAAACCCTAAACCTTGAATCCCAAACCCTAAGCCCTAACCCCCTAGCCCTAGAGGCAGCCTTGAAACTTAAGCCCTGAGGCACAGCCTCAGGGCCACAGTCCTGGCAGCTTGCCCAAAACCCCAGAGGGGTGGTTGTCAAAATTATGGTCCCTTTTTGGTTCCCTATCATAATACGGCACCTAATATTTAGGGTACCCCAACAATGGACCATAATTTTGACAACCACCCAGAGCGTTTGGGGTTCCATGTTCCTAAGCCCTGAACCCAACTGTAAACCAGATGGCCTAAACCCCAAAGCCGAACCCTTCTGAATTCAAGGATTTAGGGTTTAGGGTAAGGGCTTATGCAATGGCTATTGTCCTCAAATAGACCTCAACCTCAGTTGATAGTTTCTACATTGCACAATCCCTATGTTACCCCCCCCATACAAGCCCAGTTTTGCTTTCTTTCTGCATGTTCTTGTCCATGAATTCTCCGATTTTGGGGGGCACTATCGCTAAGCCCGAGACCCTCATCCCTAATTCCTAAGCCCTAATTCCTAAACTCTACAGCCTAAACCTTCAGCCCTAATGCCTAAACCCTATATCCTAAGCCCTCATTCCTCAAGCCCAGATAGCTTCAAATTGTAACACAAAACTCCGTCGGTCAAAGTTCTCACCCTGAAACCTATACAATTTGTATAAATGAGCCCGTAACCCCATTCATTTCTAAACCCTAAACCCTGAATCCTAAACTTTAAGCCCTGAATCCTAAACTTTAAGCCCTCACTAGCCAAACAGCAAGCCTGAGCTTGCAGGAAGACCCCTATCCGCGGCGTGTCCGAGACGATCTAATACCTCCATGATGGCATGTTTCTGCAGGCCCAGAAATTTATCAGTTTAGGGCTCAAGATTTTGGTTGGGGAGCACTTTCAGGTAGGCGGTTATTATATAGATCGCAAGAGGGTCGCGTAAGGGTAATGAAGCTATGTGAGCTGCTGTCAATATTAAGCCTAGCAAGGGGCTCTGAAGAGTGGACATATCCCTCTTGTAGTCTAGTATACTTCTTATGCAACCCTAAACCTTCAACCTCATTATAGTCGCCAATGAAGAGCCCTTGTCTGGCTTATGTTGCTTGTCGCTCACATGAGGTCCGTGCTTGACAGTACCCACCTCAGAACTACCTGTTTGGCAGGTACTTGACTTCGGGCTTCAGGGATTTGGGTCAGGGCTAGTCGGAGTTTTTTGAGTTGTGGGAGATGCGGACTCAGTTTTTTAAGATTTAGGGTTTGGATTTACGGTTTGGGGTTT